ATACGAGATCAAGTGAGCAATTTGTACAGTAGTATCATATAATACGAGACGGAATAAAACTGTATTTCAATAATACTGGAAGATCAATGTCACTTTAGATTAACATCCGTGTCTATATTTATACAACTGTAACTTGCTATAATATCAATTGACTCTAATCGCCTGGTTTTCTTTTCGACATAACACCGATTTCTATCGCCTCCAGTGATAGTTCTTACAAAACAAGATTACAGATTCAATTCCGTTTATCTTACCTCTTACTAGCGAAATGTTTAATAGCTGGTAAGAGTAGCGAAATGAATTTGTAGCATTTTGTTATGAATAGACACTAGGTGAGTGGGAAATTACGGTTGCGATATTCAGATTTTGGTATTTGGTGAATTGATGATGAGATGATTTTGCCAGTCATCAGCCTACTCTTTTTGATTTCCAACAAGGTTTGTTTTATCATCAGAATTATTAGACCCCATGTCAGATGTTCTACCTGGATCACAACACGGGTTGTAATTATTTCGCGGCAAGGGTTTCAGTTTTGATAGGTGGCGCTTGAATATTTGCGATGGTAGTAATCAACTCACATTTCTGAATTTGGAAAGGATTGTATTATTGAATATTCGATTTCCTCTTGTCAGCAATTTTTCGATTGAAATTATTTATCTAACTTTATGTATAAACCATTTGGAAGTAAAACAACAGTAATCATTCCAGATTTGTCCACATCGACGTTGACTTAACGTGGAAATAACATCGCTGTAGGCAAAACTATACCAAATATCAATATTTTACGTAAACTCAATTTTATACTAGTTATCTTGCTTTCTGGCTTCAGTATAATTGTAGAGTGGTAGTTGGTCGTACATTGGTGATGTAGATAGTGGAATCATTGCCCAAGGATATGATTTTCACGCGTTCCGCAATTTGTGAGGTAAAATGGACAGGAAACGAAGGATTAATATGATTATCGTTCTATCTTAACTTCGCGAAGAATTCAGAACAAGTCTTCTGATCAATGGCTTGTACGGAAATTTAAGCATTCATTCACAATATTTGAATATCGTTCCATTGCAATAGAAATGAAATGAAAGGAAATTTGGTGTGCGCAAGATTGAAATTACCAAATTCTAATACGTTATTTTTCCTACACCTGGATCTTCGCCACTTCAGATAACTAGAAACTACATATACACCAGGATTTAGCAAACATTACACATTATAGGGTTTGAGGCAAGGTATTGCATTCGAGGCTCAGAAGAAATTTAGCCCACGGTTACTCTCCGTACAGGTTATGACGCTCATTGACTATTGGTCATGCCTGTGATAATTCATTCCTCTGTCCGTCTATTGAAAAATGTGCCGACTACAACTCAAACGTGCCATTAGGTTTTCTGAGGATTGCTTTAGCAGTATTTCTAAGGCATAACATTTACATTTATCTATGAAACACAATGTGAGCTCAGTAATGCAACTTAAACGAAGTATATTTCAGCCGAATGTGACTGCCAGTTTCGACATACGACCAAAGTCAATAAGCAATCTAGTTTTTTCCCTACCATTGACATACTGATGTGGAATCATTGATTCTCTCCTAATTCGATAATGTTTACATTGCCTGAAAGCTTTTTCTAACGAAACAGTTTTTACTGTACGTTGTTAGCGTTGAAAGGTCGCTTATGGCAAGATCAGTTTTTTGTCTGTTTCTTTCGTTAACAATGGCCTGACTAGTTAAAAGGCCAGTATATGTTTTGTCTTCGATTGTTGGAATAAGAATAGTGTTAACTCTCTGTTGTATTATAAATTGTTTCACTGTGATTGTTACTGATCATGCTTTGTATAACTTTTATCACAATTAACTTGCATTCTTGTATACCATTGCCAACATACTGCAACACGTTCATCGGATGATATTTACGGTGGGTACTGACAAGTTTGACAGTGGTCTGTTTTTGTTTTGGACTAGTATTAGTAGGAAGCATTTAATTAAAGGAATAATCCAAGAGCATCTCTTCAAAACATCTTAATTATGTTGATTTAGATTATATTCAGATTAAATGTATTTCATCGTTAAGTAAACACGTGTCATATCTTTAAGCAATACATCATTTTTCCTTGAACGTATATCATTTTGAAATATGTGTTTTGAAATCTTAAATGATTTAATTCCCTGCAGTTAATAATTAGATGTCTAACTTTGAAATAATGATCATGCTGCGTTAAGGTTAATTTATGGGCTTTCCATTCTACTGAATCTGAGTTACTGGAAGTTTTTGTAACATCATAGTATTAGCATAACGTAATGTTATTGATAAACCCAGTAGACTGGAAATAATTAAAACCAGACCTGATTGAACTCAAATACGATTTATATTAGCAGAACCGAAAAAAAATATTTTAGATTTTAAAAATCTGAGCCTGGTGTTTTCTGTACCTCAGTAATAACAGAATTTTGCGTTTTTAGTTAAACATATTCGTCGTGTTTACTGAATCTGATATTCGTCCATCTTATTGCAAATACGGAAACCTTTTGTGGCATTACAGTTGTCATGGTAGGGCGATAAGAGTTCCAGTTTTCATAATGAATGAATGAATGGAGTTTTACGTCCTACTTTTCTGCACTCCAGTTTTCATAGCTTTGTCTTCTAAATTATTATCAAACGTCTTGACGAAAAGTAAGAAATAATCAAGTCGAGGAGTATTCTAAAGTTTCTTATATTAATTAAGAAAACACGCAATACTTAGTGTTTTATCGGAAGTTTGTACGGAAAATATATTACTCATGTTTGATTACAACGAAACTCATCACGATTCACTACCACAGGTAAAATTCATTGGCTGATAGTTTGGTTCAGCAAATCAAATTCGTGGAAATCAGAATATCAATCCGGGTGGAAACCAATTGCAATCAAACAGACCATATACTGGGTGAAGAGAGCAAGGTTAAGTAATGATATGAAATCAAGTTTTCAATAATGATATAGATTAGATTCTGATTGATTGACAAGTGGTATTCAACACGTCAAATACATGCAGTCTACTTCTATTCACGAGCAACTAAAATAGATATCACGAAATGTAAACCAATTAATGTGCACGGAAAGAGTTATATGTCGTGTTACCGAATTTTGTTACATTTCGATCATATTAAGTAGAATGTTAATGATAAGGAAAGGGATAGGGGAGCGAATCGACTTACTTAGAACCCAGCGAAAGTTGCAAGTCAAAATGTCACGTGGCTGAAAATCTTAAGTGAGCCACTTGGAATTTCGCTGATAAAAAATGGGGCGAGGTTCTAAATGTAGAAAGGCATAGGTGCTTGGTCACATGCATGTACAGAAAGTTTAGCTTTAAACACCTGACAATATGTAAAGCCGCAACAAAGGCATTGTCTTTTCATGGTCAACAAGCGTCTTGTAGATTGGTACAGAACACATGAGACCCCATATGTTGTGATGTGAATACGTTAAAAGGTCTCTCTCTGTAGAAAATCAAGAGGTGTTCGCCCAATTGGCATGCTCCAATTTATCATATTCCGATAAATATTTCATGGATGGCTGAACAATCAGTTCCCCTTATTTGCGAAATGTAATAATCCATTTGATTGATTAAAAAAGAGTTGTTTTAATATTCCATTTATTCAGTGTTATATAAATCAACAAAAATTCCCGCATTACAAGTATGAAACAATATCTAAAAACATTCTGCTCCAGTTGGCACCGATTCTCACAAGTCTGCCTTCATCCTTCTTGTAGATTATCTCCCTTGGTTGGGTTGTAGCCCCGAATGCCAATTGTCGGAGTTTCCATACCATCCGATTACTCTATTTTTTCCACAAAGCGAAATATATTGGGATGGTTTGGCATCAGCTTTTTGGGTTTGTAGTGGATGCCTTCTAAATTATTGTTGGTGCCTCGTCCAATATTTCTATGGTGATTCCACGTGGAAAAAGAAACATAGAATCATCATCTACCCAGGTTGTCACCATGTAGTCGTTGAACCTCTGGACATTACGTCTAGAGTTTTTCCCATGGCATTGACCCAGGTGTTTGACTGCATTGATTGTCAACAGCGATATCACAGCCTAGGCAAAATCCCTCGTTGCACACTTCACGACTTGCGCATCGTTATTAGCGAATAGCTCCAGTTAATTATTTCCAGATGTTGGCTTCAATTAATCCATCTGCCTGCAACCAGCATGATCGAGAAGTTTTATTTATTTCAACTCAGACGATACTTGACATTCCAGGTTTACCTTTTTGTTTTAATTTACAGAAATCGAAATAGGCTGATAAATATTTGATTTGAATTTCATGCCAATTATCTTCTGTGACTTTGAAATGTATTGAATAATTCATAATTTAATTTAGAATCGAGATTAATCCAAGCGTGATGCTTATCTATGGAATCACTGTTTACGTAAGATCTTCAATACATCATCACGCTTGGTGTATTTTGAGCTCGTCATTGCATGTTTATATTCCACAATAATCAGATGGGATTTCCATTTTTCACGGCATGAAAGGGTATCTTATTTGAAGTCATTCAATATTACGTAAGATCTTGAATAGTGAATAAGGCCCGGGTTATTGCATGTACAGCAACTTAGCCACGAATTCATTATGTAAAAAGAGAATGCCAGATTAGCTTCTTTGAATCCATACGTAAGATCGTAAATAGTTGATAAGACTTTGTGTATATCAATCTTGTTATAATATGCTCATGGTCGACGCCATGTTTCTAAATATATGTGACGAGGTAGAGATTACGATGCAAAAAAACAAAACAAAACGTTATAAACTATCTTAGAATGTTTTAAGTCTTTAATGCATGGTGGTTGGAATGCGGCGCATTGACAACGTTACACATGCTTTATGATAAAGATAATTTCTGTGCTGCAAAATCCTTATCGTTATCATACAAGTCTTGTTTTCAGATGCAGTGTTAGTAACAGTTTTGGCATTTTTCGTATTTAAATCAATTAACGTTTGTTTGTTCTCTATTTTCAGGAAAGCTTCAGATAAACCAGCTTCCAGTCCAAATCATCAAACAGCTTTAAATCCCAGTGCTGATCCTAAATATTATTCCACGTGTCATTATTCACCCCCATCTGTATATTCTAGACAATCAGAGGTATGTCTCTTCATCACTAACATCATTGACTTACACATTGACGATTGGTTAAATGTTGATCGCAGAACCGTAGAGCTTCGTTCCGTTTTGGTCGCCATAGCATAGAAAGTTACAGCCTATTTTTATTTTGGATTTCGTTTTGCGGTTCTGATCGTCGCACTTTGTTTATTTATTTAATAATATCCAATCTACCCTAAATTAAATAATTTAAAACTCGACCATTATTACTCGTTTAATCAGTTAACAGTTATATGACCAATGTATTGAAATACATATACGTGAACAGAATAGAAATGCACTTAACTTAAAAACATTATACTCAAAACGTGTTCGATTGATATATCGAGATTGTCTATATAATAATAATGATGCTATTGCATGTTTGACAGAATCTAAAACATGAATTGTATATGTTAGCAATAATTTTTATACATAGGTACATGTCGTGTTGAGGGGGTCCTATCTTTTATTTACAACCCATAATCATTAATCATATTATGTCCTGAGACATCTCCGGAATACAATATAGAATAATACTACTGATCGCATGGCGGCTGTACATGGTTTGTTACATGATTTCTGGTATACATGAGGATTCTATTCCTAATAACACGTTGGATATACGGATGATCGTGAAACATGGTTTGCAACACCATTTCCGCCCTTGAATTTTGGATAAATCTCTCTTTTGTGTTGTTGACTTCCCGCTCCTTTTACTTTGTTTAAAAAACCTTTAGTGCATTAATTTTAAGCAGAAGTTCGTTCCTTTAAAAACCCAACAGTCCAGAAAGGATTTATGTATACGAAAGGCGCACAATTAGATGAGCTTTGGCCATTTACAAAATGGTATAAGGTAGAACATATTACAAAACCTTTCGGAATCTGTTGATATGGTTATATACATACTAATGAAAAGCAGGAAACATTATAGTTGAGGCATTACATCATCCATCACTAAAAGACCTGTAATATACGTCATTTCCGGTTAAGTACCATTAGCTACAGTGATAATGACCAATAATAACGGGGTAATAGCATCATTATATCCTCTCTCTAGGTACTAATGACTTGGCCATTATACAGATTTTTTTTTCAAAATTACACGACGGTTGGATATTGAACACATCTTCCAAATATATAGTGAGATCAATCGTGCGTTTCTGAGTAAGTACTCGCATGCTTTGCTAGCATTGCATATATCTTAATTGCGCATCCCCTCCCACATTGGCTTAATGTGTCTTTTTTTTTTTTATCCGAAACCGTTCTTATGTAATTGTAACTAAAAAACATAACAATCGAAGTCAATCCTAACAAGAATTACATTTAACAATGTTAATTTAGTGCGGTTCTTAATATTTGCACATAGAATATACTTATGTTCTGCAAGGTTAGGCAAACCTTCCTCGTACACACCACTTAAGACATTTTTGAACATACTGGAGACCAACTTTTTATGCGAATCCTAAGAATACAATATGTATAGTCTATTGAAATGTAATATGCAAATTGTAAGATTGTGGAATTGATTGAAATGGTTTATGGTAAATCTGATAGCGTATATCAATTATTTATAGCGTTTTACTTAAGACTTTTACATAAACTCAATTAGATTTTAAAGCGACAAGATGCAATTGAGACAAACCGTTCTCTGGCTACCTTTGATTTAATTTTCTCTCTCTTGTTCTTAATTTAACACAATCGTGCTATGCACACCTCTGGTGGAATATTCGGAGGGCTTTTTTTTAAAAAAAGGTTCTTGTGACAATTATCATATGGTCCTGAACTAATTGTGTGGCCATCCCAAACAAATAATTGTACATTATCTTGTATGGTAGAAAAACAGTGATGCAAGTTAGACGGTAATTCATTTTAAATGTAACATCTGTGCCTTCGATAGTTTCGATATAGAAATCCCACGGTTGATCATTCTAAACCACAAGTCGAACTCCGCTATCACGCTACACTCTCCTTATAACGTATGAGTTTAATTTTCAATAACTCAACTGAAATTGTCTTCCAAGCCATTAATTATATTTTTAAATCCTTATTTAAAACCACTGATTTAGATTCCAGGTCTATTTTAAACTAAGCTTAATTTTACTTTGATTATAAGCCATCAAACAGCTAACCTTTGATGCCAGCATAATGTTATTTGTGTACAATACTATCTCTGCTTTTAACGGATTTATATTTGTGCAATATTTTCCGGAATTAATGTCCATCGATTGAAATTTCTATCGCGTCCAATCTTTTCAAACAGCGAATTGATTTGGAGATAAATCATTTTCCTAATCGATATCATAATCCGAAAACAACAACTGAGTGCAAATGAAAGGCCATTGTTTGTCATTATTCAAGCAACATATAATCAGATGCAAATAAAGACGATAACACTTGCTGCACTTCACAATTACAGTCAAATTTATATATGCAGATATGCGTAATACATTGCTAAAATGTAGCTTTTTGATAGGATTTTAATGCATCCCAGCATTTATCGTTTGCGGATCTCTTATACATAACGTACATTATTCATTTTACTTTTCAGATCACTATACGAGGAAACAAAGCGGAAACAAGACTGTTACAACATTACTATCCACCCATCTCGCCATATTCCTTGCATCCTGACGATGTACGTTACCAACAAGCACGTGATCTCGAACTTCCGGACAGCAACAGTTTCACAAACTATAGAAAGTTACCAGATGGTGATTATTCACCGTCTAGCGGTGCAAGTCAGTATAGTGATAAGTCGCCAATATATGAATACATAGACTCTGATTCAAACCTGGAAGATAGGCGTCGACACCCCAGAGAATCCAACTCAGTATGCACGTGTAATTGTGGCGAAACGGGATACGGATCCTCATATTATAGTGATACAGCAACGAATACTCAAACATTACAACTGCGACCAATACGCAACGCAAGGTCGTATGTAACGTATCATGAAAATAGTGACATTGAAGAGCCAATGCCTAGAAGACATTCACGTAGTAGTAACCGCAGTCGCTCAAGCCGTCAATCCAATAGTAGTTATTGTGCAGTAGAACGCAATAGAGACGGAACGATCAGAAGAACAATACCGGCCGTGCATCCGCATTACTTTGCACCGGAACTTCCGTACAGGTGACGAGTGAATATTGCTATCCATTAGTATTATGAGACTTGGTGTGACTACCTTGGAAAAAAACGAAAAAATATTTGTGCTTAATCAAAAGAATGGGAAACTTGCTAGTGCTGAAATATCAAATGTCCTACGAATGGTGGACTTAAACCATGTGTTAACTAATTGTTCAATGCGAATACAGAAGGTCATATCAGATTATGATAGAGCATATGATCTCGAAGAAAGTGAATTCAAGGCCCTGAAACTTGATATCTCTTGAAAGTCATGCAGCTTCATTAGTTTTTAACAAATAAATATACCTATGCCTCCTGTTGGAAGTGGAATTTTAGGGCTAAGGTTCTGGTTTATTTAATGCCTAGATTGATTATGAAAGAGTGCAGACCCAAGTCTTGTCATATTTTGTGAATTGAGATCTCTATTTTTGTTTATTACTGATAAAAAAATAACGTTGTGTTTGTGTAAAAATTTATTTTTGTTTATTAGAGAGATGATTTCCAACAATTTTTCCCCTAGCCAAGCCTGTTATTGTAATTGCTCGAGTATCTTTATCATTTGCTTCCGTTTAATTATACTTAAGTAGTATGTGATAACAACCGGTAAATCCTTTTGCAAAGATTATACATCTTGATATTTAGGGAAACGTAGCGTTACATAGCCAATTCATTAAAAATCCATTTGAATGGACGAACTGAAGAACTTCAACGAGGACTAGAGTCAGACTTGAACGTAACCAAACAAAACGAAACTGTCAATTGTACAAGTTGAGAATTTAGTCCTTTTAAAGATTATAGAATTAGGTTTGTCCTCGACTATCAGTCTCTGAACAAATTTTCAATTAGACTTACAATGCATTATTAATTTTCAAACAAAATTAACATAGAACTATCCCTTGAACATTTGCCAATTTTAAAGAAGTGTGAATTACTTCTTCAAAGAACAATGCATCATTAATTAAATCATCTAAAAGAATAAATTAGTTGATCTGAAAGATCCCAAGCAGTAATTTAAAATTAATTCGTTGGGACAGTAGTGCTACTTTCTTTGTTTTAATTTAAGAGAATAATTAATGTCACGTTGACCTCGTGATGACGTAATTTCTGCTTTTGGCGAAACTCTCCGAATGTCAAGTATTGTGTAGTTCAAAATGACACCATGGACATTAGTGCCATTTGACATGCAACTACTGTTGGTTATTGGTTACATTTAAGAATAAACACGTGCTTTCGCCACAGTCTGACTATTTGTCTGTGGCTGTTTGCCATACAATCCAAAAATTAATTACATCATCATACCCAAAATCACAAGCCACATTTTCACAAAATGACTAAATGAAACCCGAGATAAGAGCCATTGTTAACAGGCTTAAGGGATCAGTATCAATGGAAGGACCTCTAACTGTTTATAACTTCTTTATTTTGGTTGCAAAAGAACCAATAATTGGTTTTAATGCTTTTCCCTTTTATGCTTTTAATTTTAATTTGAACTCCGATCACCCCACGTGCAACCAGTTTCCTCGTCTCGGTACGAGACATAGTAACCAAGCACAAGAAATCTTTAACACCTTAAATAACGGTAGCTGCATTCTGTTGATTTGAACACAATATCAAACCATGGGCAATTCTTCGTCTATCCATACGATAACAACTATAGAGAAATAAAACGATGTACATAGAGTAAGACAAACTTTGTTCGACTATCAAACAATAGTGAACCAACTTGTTAAATATATCATGTTGATGCCAGTAGACAATTTCCTGTTAGTGAAACCTAAGGATCAATACGCTTAGAATGTCAAGTATATCTAATAATTCTCTCTTCCTCTTCTGATAGTTTTAAAATAATCCCATAGTTACATAGATAGACTAAAGAAATTACCAAGAAAACTTTACTGCCCTAACACGAAAATATGAAACCATTTTCGTCACATGGTTCGGTAAATCTGAAACATATGTGTTGCTGACCTAAGTACTAGTATTCCATTTCCATTTTGGAATTACTTACCAACGAAGATCTCTAAAATAACTGGAAAAGTACGATGACATGTCTTTTATATATGTAGGCGACAAATTCGGTTCCATTTTTCAATCCTATACTTGTTATTATCTTATAAGGTAGTTCTCAGTATAACCGCATCTACTAACGACAACACTCCTTCAAATTCAAATGTACCGGTCGTTGTCCTCGTGAAATTGCATTTGTTTACTTTGTTCTTTCAAAGGCTATACACCTACAGATCGTGTCTTAGTTACAGAAAAAACACATGGGGCCCAGAGGAAAAACAGCTCTTTCAATGATAAACCACATAAAGAGCACTCAAAAATCGCCTACTTAAAACCTCTAGCCAGCAGTAGATTTCTTCTTAATTTAATCAATGTAGAAAATTACAAACATAGACAAACTTCATTAAATTCAACAAAGAATTGAGAACGTGGATATATCCCCAAGGGCCCGAACTCCAGCTGAGTCCAGGCACTGGTATTCAATAAAAATCTTTTGATGTATGTGTAGCCAGTTGAAATGGTATGTGAAGCGAGTTTGAAAAGATTACGTAGCTAATATCGATTAATATGTTTAATTATTGACTTGGAACGCTACAAACGGTCCGTGGCTTCTTACAGCTTTTCTCAATAAGGCACTAAACGTCTATAATACTGCGTCTCTACATAAAATTCCTTTCAATGTGAATATTTTGACCTAACCTCGATACTTTGATTTAAAATTTCACGGCAGTAGAAACATATATTTAAACTCGTTCAACTTCCTCAGTGCAAGATTCGAAATCGTGGTTCGTTTCCACTCGCCTGAATGACTATCTTCAATTACCAAAATCGGGGTTCAATCATTTTAAAACACAATAAGTGCATATGACCGACAAATTAAATTTATCCAAACATTAACACTACAGGAAACGGTATAATAGTCAGTATTTTCCACCGAACTGCTCGTACCACCTTTCAGTTGAACTATCAAGAGAAACTTCTCCAATATAAATACAACTTGTTGAAAGCACTGACTCTGAGAGCTAGGTCAATATTTTATGGTAAAATTATTAAATTTATTCCCCATTTCGACAGTAATATGCTGTCATTAAGTCCTCGTTATGTACGCTTATATGGTCAGAGTAATAACCGTCAAGAAAAAATAAAAGAAGAGTTCATTAAGGGGCAATAACTTGTCGATAATTGAAATCCCGCTGTCAGTTTCCCGGAGGACTAATATTGGGATCAAGGGTGAAAGATTACCATCTGAAGGTGACAATAAAATGATTATTTTGACTTGAAGCCACACTGAGAAATTCATAAAGAACTGAAGTAGCCAAAGTAATTGATTTTCCAGCTAGAAGAGAAATAACAATTAGAAAATGTTAAGAAAAGTACTTAGTGATAGACCAATTATTATGGGTAAGAAATCTTTCAAGTAAGCCTAATGAAGCCTGACCTACCATTAATCTTAGGCGCAAAATATGCACCGGCAAATCAGGGTTCCTTATAGATTTTATTAGGCAATTATGTTCTTAATTTACTGGACAAAAGGGGGACTAATCGCCATTTATGACCAGTGGTTGTGGGATACTGTCGCCACTTATTACCAGCAAGATATTGTCAGAATTGTTATTATATTATGTAGAGATGCACGTCCAATCAAAGGACATCGCAGAAAGCATCAAGTAGTCACGTTACAAACTCAACACATCAGGCACCTTGGGGTCCCCAAATCGATATTTAAATATCTTGATAAATACAAGTGATATAAAAACCTCTTTTAATCTGAAACACTTACTATTGATTCATCAACAAGTTTAGGGTGAAATATATGCAGTAATAAAGCACTGTAATTTAATTTAATTCACTGTAAATTATTGAATACATCAAAAAGGAAACAAAAACATTGGCTTTCGCAATTTATTTTTCAAACAAGCAACAGTTTAATTCACATTTTAGTACATCTGACTACCTGTGGTCTCACATGACCCCATGCAATTTGCGCTAAGTTTCACCATATTACAGTCATTTTACACAGATTTTATCTTTAAGGACCATGACTTGCTCATTCTGCAAATAGCTATGCATGGAAGGTTCTAAACGATCCAATGGCTTTTCTTCGCTAAAATAAGATGTAGTTAGACTTCAGCATAATTTATAGTCTCGATTTTCAGCATCTACAAGCCGTCAGCAATATTTTAAATTTAGACCACAGCCAGATACTACATCAAGGTTCTTTGGATTAGATTTTAAATACCGGGCAGAAATAAAAGACAAATAAAATAGATCCAGGGCGACCGTTCTCATGTGACATTCCGAGATTTCAACCATAACTGTAAGTTTTAATTATGGTGAAAAATTATGACAAAATGTGTACTTGAAGAAATTTTTTTCGAAAAAGACTTTAAGAATCATGCTCAAAGATATGCTTTGGGGTAAAAAAAATATCAGTGCGTGAAGCTTTATGCTAGCTTAACTACTTTTAAGGAGCAGAAGGTGACACCGAGTCTCACTCAAGACCCACATATATTTTCCGGACACACAACTAAGGATTACGTATTCGTCGATCAGTATCAACTTGAGAACCACAGAAATCTTTTAAAAGCCCCCTTTTAACTCTTTGACTGCCAATTGATGCAAGTCTCATCGAACTGAAGAAGTTATTAAGTTTATACCAGACTATAGAAGCCTTTGAAAGTTAATATCGGCAAGTTCTAAGTGTCGTCTTATTAGAAATGTTGACGGTGAAGGAAGATCATTAATTCTCCAGTCTTGACAAGCATGGAATTGGTAAACTTCTCACGACATTTATTGGACAGCTCGAAGGTAGAATGTGGAAGTTTTTATATCACAATATTTACACTTCATATGTTTTATTATATGCTGCAATAGTCTGGGGGTATTCCATAAACCACACAAAACCAGTTGATGTATTAAAGATGCGTTTCATATGTATATTACCAAAATAGATCCATGCATTTGGTTGGGTTCTCAATGTATGTTGGTCGAAAGTGAGAAACGCAGCGGTGCTCAAGGATTCAAGTCCATTGCCATGATGACACGAAATATACCTTTGTGTAACGGTGTCAACGTATAACGCCATACTTGCTGGATTCTTGTGAAGTATATGATGTTAGATCGATTCGCAAGAAATAGAAGGGGGATTGAGTAATATGGACATGCATCCACCTTTAGCTACGTACAGAATTTGCTGTAATGTTCTCAATCCCTACCACCTAAAACAATATGTCAACTGTAAATATAACTAAAGAATAACTTAGAATTGCATGTCCAAAGCCAAACAGAAACCAAGAATCAGATAGGATCGATTTATGGGAAATCAGTGCTTCGTCCTTGACTGGACAGATAATCAGAAGTCATTTAGGAAATAATAATTGAATTTGGTGAAGAATTTATGTTGTCAGTATATCAATAAAGCTGACGGGTCAATGTATAATATACTGTCAAGGGTCAACAGAGTTGCTGGTAATTTATTCCATACTCTATTTCCATGATATTTAATTTCTTTCTTTCGTCTATGATTTGATGGACATGCAAAGAAAATTACACATATTATTTAACATGGATAGACAGTTTGTAGCAGTTTATAAGCCTTGCAACTGTTAAAGGTGGTGCAACGCATTGACAATTGATTGGTACCTTATTGCAGCTTAGAAAACTGCCCTTGTCATATTCATACATAGATCAGATTGACTATAAACTATGTGTGGTACATTCGTAAATTTATAACCAATTAGGGTACAGCGCAAATAGCGCCTAATTTATGGGATTTTGGCCCCAAAACTAATACTAACTTATACCTAAGAGCGAAAACCACATTTCCTCTGTTCCTCTACAATAATAACGACCTATGTGACAATTCCAGACAGGATCAAACCTCGTAAAGAAAAAAGATAAATTGATTTTAGTAGTCTAAAGAGAGACATGGTCTACAATTTGTGTTAAATTTGTCACGTTCTAATCTCTAATTTATTTCATTACCATTTTAAAGTATTTGAAAAAGGACTAAAAGTTAATAGTAAAACACCATATGGTGTAAAAAGTACCCGTGTAAATCTAATTATCAGATTAACGGTCGCCAAACGGTCTCAACAACCAACTGTTTTTTTAGTATGATTTTAGGTCGTTGGCTCACTTACAGAATTCTTCTGAAAAATAAAATGCCAGTCCTCCTTGAAATACAGATCTTGATGTTGGCTCACTCGACAACCATGAAATTATAAAAAATATCTGTATTAGTAAAAATCCAAGTAGTAGTCCAAATAGAGCTTTACAATGATTGACTTTGAATTCCCCCCATTTGCTGGTTACATTGTCTATGGTAATGCATATCAATTTATAGAATTCATAAATGAAAAAATACATCCCAAAAAATTTAAACATCTGAGTCGAAATCAGACTGATCATAACATGATAGTTCGACTTTAAATGCACGATTGAGCTAACATTAGAAGGTGGACGGCCACTATCACTGTATCTGCTACAATGGATACAAAATTTCCAAGGCTAAATGACAATACACAATAAAGGATGTTTGTAAATATTCAAAACAAATTAAGTACAAGATGCATACATCAAAGTACTCAGTATATCTCATGATCCAACATAATCTGTAAACGAGAATGCTGCACCAACGTTTAGCAGCAGTCTCTTTATCAGAATTGTGGACTACCAGGTATACTGAAGCGGTCAATATAGCTAAAGCCACTGGCAAGGCTAGATATTAGAGGTCAATTACGACTGTAATGGACTCTTAATGGAATACTAGTCATACTGGCAGAGAGATAGTAAATTGTTTAGAGTCTAGACCTCATCTATCTATTTTCTAACTCATTATATGGAACTCTGACCGTTATCATTAGCTCTATAGTCAACTTTAATATACCTTCATTACCTCACACAATCATTCATTATGAAGGCGGAGATTATTTTCTAATCATGTCCACCAACTTTGCCACTCTATTCAAATGTGCTTTATTTAAAAGAAGCGTTCACATCGAATTTTCTACATTCCAAAGTTTGTGAAAATCGTTGAATACAGATGGAAAATGTTCCGGTTTCGATGTTAAGAAGAATAAATTCTCACAATCTGTCCAGATTGCTACAAGTCAATCAAGTTTTGTTCAATATTAAGGGAAAGAGGGCACAACTCTGAATCTAATTGTCTGAAAGAGCTCTAACTGGAAACAACACCTGGCCCGACACATTGTATGGTAACAAGGGCAATAACTTTAGTTTCTAATAATTGTTTTCTAGCTTTTCTAGCTGAACGGACTGACGTAGGTGAAGATATTGTACGCCCACATGATGAGATGTGGGTCCTTTTAAAAAAGACAGAAGTTGGTTTCTGTATCTGAATATGCACCTTTAGTTGTTTTTTTCAAATTTATTTACATCGAAAAGGGTGGGGAGGGGGGTCCATAATTTTAATGTGTATACAATTCATTTTCTTAAGGAAAGTCATATAACTCTTCGCTGCTATATTTTATTCAGAAGATAGTTTTATTTCAAATCTTTCCACATCCGTCCAATACGTTTAACCACCTTTCCACAATTAATTCCACAAACTTTCAGATCGCCAGAGTCATTTATATTGTCAAAATCCTCGATATTGTCAATCTGGCCCTTTCTTATTTGTTGTATCATATAGTTTACATGTTGTAACAGAACACTGTCTGAAACATATTGCGAGTCCTTCAGTTCATTGAATGCCGTCAGTAGCTCATTAGACCATTTACCAATTTCACAGAAATGTTTCTGTTGTACTATCTGAGAGACGGCCTCTATCTGAGTGTTATACATGTCTACTTCACCACACTCGTCCGCCACACATTGATGAAGGTGCATCAACCACTTATCCACCAGATAAAACAGATCATCTCTGTTTCGAATCAGGTCAGTATTTCGTTTGATGTATTTTTCCATGCTCTTGCGCCAAGGTTTAAATTTATCAGTTTTCCAAGATTCTAGACTCTCTGTTAATATTTCTAACTCCTTCTTAGCTACCATGTCTGGGATGACAGTCGGACTAATATCCCCAACTGACAATGTCAACACCTTCATTAATTTAACAATATCGTCTTTTGCGTGCACACGAGGACATTTTGGAAAGTTAGGAAACACGACTTCATAGTCTCGAATATTTGTCTGAAAAGGCGGCGAATCTGACGCGCTCTTGTTGGAACCTGAAATAAAACAAAATAATAAAAACAAGAATTGGTTTACAGATAAAGATTTGAATATCGATTTCGTTATATATCTGTATAATTTTGTTTTATAAAATTTATATCGGTATTTGTAAAGATTCATCAAAAGATTAGGACAAGCTCTTTTTTTTTCAGAATGAGAAAGTGTGCAAACTACTTTAACCGAGGACTTCATTTAAAGGTTTCAAAATCATTCAGATATTTCCGACGCCGTGACAAAGCCTTATCAGTTGGTAAAGAAAAATGTTGCCATAGCTAATTATTTCAAGGGGTACATGTATATAACACGGATCCTAGTCACTTGGAATAGTCCATTTATACCGTCATCAAAAATCATGAGCATGCTCAAGACTAATATTATCTGCGTTACAGAAGGAATGATCCACTGACATCTTTAAATATATCTGCAACTACCTGATGATTCGCCTCTTGTTCGGTCCTCTTGGTCCTGTGAATCAGTTGTAGGAGAAGAGGTCTGCAAGACACATTCTTCGGCTTCACCATGCACTTGTAATGAAGAAAAGGAAAAAATATATTACATTCTGCTATTTGTCATGATGTTTTTACTGTTAACTAATTCCTCCCCAGAAGAGTTCTTCCAAATCTATTCCTCCCCAAAATAAAGCAGTCATTTTGAAACGTATTTCATTCGAAAAATGTATACAACGATTTACCATGAAAATTTATAAAATCATACTTCACATATCGTCTATGTATGTCCGGGTGAATGACATTAATTTAAGTTATTTCGGTTATCTTCAACGAATGAGGAATTCCTCCCCTGTTGAGAAGCACTGGTCTTATGAATAATTGCAGTACACTGTATTGTACTTTGAAGAATTATGAAATAAAATGGCGCTTTAGCCTAAGAGACAGAACAGAACCAGTTTCATGGCAAAACAAACTGAGATAAGTTAAAGAAGCTACAACTTGCTATTTGAAATATACACAGATTGTAACTACCTGATAATCGATCTTCTTCATCTTCATAGTCCAGTGAATTGAAATTAAAGGTCATTTTCTTTTTCCTTTTCTTAGCTGAAAATTTTGAATGGTAATTAATAAACAAGTCTATATTTTAATCAGGCAATTAAAATGATGGATTTACAACGAAAGTCAGTTCCTAAACAAATGAAAAAACGGATTCATATTTCATTTTTGATAGATTTTTAATATTATTGAGCAAAACTTTAAGTGCACGTAGTTTGCGGAACGTATCAGTACTTGTTTACATCTCGGGATACTAGCATTATAGGAGATATTGCATCCTAAGCATAAGACCTTTTTGTACCAATGGATATTAATATCCAAAGCGATCTGTGTCTGCGAGCTACAGGCGTTACCCGAGCTGTACTTTAACCGACAGAGCTACACACTTTCTCATCACTGTTACTTACCTAACATAAATTCGGGGTCGATGTCCTCAACTAGAACGTTGTGTCCATCTTGTAACAATGCTTCTAAAAACACCGTGTACCATTTTCTGGTTTTCGTGTGTAGATGTACGATTAATTCCAAAATGGCGTCTTGGTTAGAATTATATCGACTACAGGCCCTGGTGCTCTCAAGCTGATGTTCACTTATAATTTCATGTTGATATAAAACGGGCAAGATTCCAGAATTATCAAGTCGTACTCGTTCGATCAACGTAGGCAAAAATTTCAAAATTCTCTTATAATTTGTCTTATTCTCCAACATTGGAATATCCTCTCCGAATTCCAAACCTCTATATAAATCTTGATAACCTGTAAAAATAGACCCTTCCTTAATTTCCTTTACTGTTCCACTCGTAAAGTTTATTATATGGGTAGTACATTGAAAAGCATAACGCCCAGTTATTCCGAACTTTATCCTTAAAGAAAGTCCACGTGTTCACTTTCTTTGCGGTTAAAATTAGTGAATTGTGGAGGTAAGGTTACTGGTTAGTGGTTTGAGGACAGTACTCCTATACATTCTACATTCTAATACAGAACGTTGAATATACACACAAGTTATAATATGTTCAATTCATTATACGGTATTTAGTCCCCGCATGTTTGCGATCATTGCAACCATTCGCGAAAAGTTGATATCATTCATTACAAAAGTTATATTATACTGTATGACCCACCTGCACTGTTTAATGCATCTATAAAAAGACTCCACTTTCTGGGATCCCCTCTTGCTTCCAGATACCTTAATAACATCATCATTGACTGAGCATGTTTCCCTTCCTTATCTAACATTCGTAGTTCACTAAAATGATCTGTAAAAATATACCAATTTATTAAGAGATCGAATCCGATTGGCAAGACCAAATGTTGCAAAAAAAAACATACAATTCAGCAACATACAGATACAAAGATCGCAATGCATATCATTGGCTTAGAGCTGTAAGCTCGTACATAGCATGTGTATTCGTGAGAAATGACCAATACTATACCTTCAAGTACTACAAGATGAACGAGAATATCAGTGCTTCGTACAGTTTCTACAATAAACGGATAATAAACCTCCATTATTAAACTCCGCTTTTCTTCTTCGGTACCATTGTACTGATGATAGTCTGCGCTTGTTGCCATCTCTAGCTTACGAATTTATTGGGAGAAATCAACACTACCTGAATAAAGACACAAACTGTGTACAACCAATTCTTGGGTGGCATTTCAGTATTCAGCTGGTACGCTTTGGTACAGCAAAATATAATAATTTACTTGTTAATATGTGTATATTAATCAGCTTTACGAGCATGTAATAATATCGCTATAATTACGTGGACAAAACGCATGGAAAGTCGAGTTGACATTGCAACATCGGGAGCCCCCTTCGACAGCCTAATCCAATCACCTTTCATACGTGATAGATGGTGATGAGAACAGTCTCATGAAAGCACTGGCCTAGGTCACAAAGTAAAGATTTATGATAAAACAAGGTGCAAGTTAATGGTTAAGATAATTAGATATGTTAACTAAGAGTGTCTCTGTAATACTAGTGATTGCATGGTTATACTAGAAGCTGAAACACCCTATAGGTCCTTTAACATACAACATGTTCGAAACAATAATAGCCTGTTAAACTTGTGTCGTTTAAAAGTGGCGAAATGATCCCTAATAACCTCAGTAAAAAAGGGCAAGATTACATTATTTAGAATAAAATATGACCTTTTTACAAATTAAGTTATGCAATTCAATATGGCTTACCTCTCATACAATAATATATCTATCCCTGATTAGGTCACGTGATACATTGTCGGTAAGAGTAACCTACTTTTAAATAACCATTTAACATATTATTTAAGTAGGTCCTACCTGTCTGTCTGTCTACCTACCTGTCTATTACATCGGAAAGTGAGGTAACCCTTACTCTACCTCCATGAACAATATTTTGACTTCTTCAAGTGCATTTAGGAACTTACCTTTGTTTTCTGCGCTGTATCATGTACTTTATGTCGCCCAACTGCAAGGTCAGATTATCAGTATCGACTCATTCCTCGGGAACGAAACAATCTACTATCTGTGTTACAGGCCTATGTGTAGTTACGTGAGAGATGCATATACTATCACCGAGTAAGATGAATATAGGCCTGTATACTCATAGTGATAAAACTTTGTTTAATAAGACGTGGCAAGACATTCTGGTAACGGACAATAATTGTAGCAAGATATCTTTTATTAGCATCCAAGCCTTACCCGCTACGCTTATGCCTGATATGAAATTAGTTTTGTGCATTTAAAGACTTATGCCGATAAAATGTTTAATTCGTATACACCTGTCTGTGCAACACTATTGAGAAAAACAAAACATTGTCTGGTATCATTGATTGCATTTTATTGGCTGAAATAGATGTATATGTTGTGTGAACATGTTTTGATTCTCTGTATGGCACAATTGAATTAAATACTGTTTTGATAAGGCAAAAGATTTACGTCGCTTTACACTATTGCATGTTTCACTTTGTTTTGCAATTTACACAATCTACGTATCTTTATTGTCTAAAACTGAATTATGCTAAGAAAACATATCAATGTAAAAGATATGGTAACACAAGGGAATAACAAGCCGACAGATATAGTTCATGCTTTTCACTTTCATTAAATAATCTTGCGAAGCTTTCCTTCGAGACATCGAATTAGAGTGATGCTAAATAATTTTTATTTCCCAGTTGAGATGTATCAAAGTCGGTAATTGGTTGGAACATTGTACAACTCAATGGAGATGATAATACGATATATGTCTGTTACATTCGCTGTATGCCATCTTTTATATTGCTTATAAATACTAAAACACACACTTATACTTCAAAATCATTTTATAAATGGATCATTCAGACCGATAGAACTTTTTTATCTCATTATTTTCTGCTGATTTATTTCAGGTTATGAAACACCGAAAAATTGCCTTGAGCTTGGAACTGTTGAGAGATGTGACAATGTTATCTTTTTAATACAGGTTATCAGATGTATAAGAAAGGGAATGATAGTTCCCATATGAAGTCAATTCAGTTAATTCTAAAACCCATAGAACTAATATAGGCTTCGCAGTGCACTTACTGCAAGCCATTGCGATCATGTTCATCGATCGAGACATGATCAATGAAGAATAACTTTAACCGTGGTCTTAAGATTGTCGTATATAAGATATTATAAAGTTGTCTCCCTTTATACTTACATGTCAATACATTCACAAATTCTCAAATTCAACACTCGTCTTCAACTGATTAACTGGACAATAAACTAATAACAGGCTGTGCACGTGAAGGGCAAAATCTGAAAATATTTTTAAAAGGATGCTATTTATATCAATGTATCTACTTGAATTTGTTTTAAAAGGGTTAATTAAAAACGGGGAATACTAATTGTTAATTAAGTAGTTTGACCGAGTTTTGGTTTTAATACCTTTATATTGTTTTGATGTTATTAGTTGAAGACTTAAGAATTCGTAGGAGACATATTTCTCTACAATTCGGCGTTTATTTTACTCAAATCCGCACAGTAGTTTTCTAACTGCTTCTATAGAGCGTGACGAACTTTAAAAAGTTTACGTTAACTTTTTAGATAGTTTTGTCGTTAAAAACTACTTTTCACAGATTTGACGCTTAAAAGTTTACGACCTCCAAAAATGTGGAATACCCCTTTAAAGAGTTCTCAACAAATAGCAACCGAATAAGAGAAGGCTTATACCACTGTCCTATAAATAATTCTCCAAGGTACACTGCATGGCGTGTACCTCTTCATTAATCCAATCAGGCGCTGAAACGATGGACGTACATTTACATTAAAATTTATTTCAAAAACCAAAACTGGACGAGAGATATGAGAAGTCCATTACATTCCTGATTGTGAAGGGTCTTTCGCTTTGTCTAAACAGATCTCGTATACACTCACGAAACATTATAAACTAAGGCCAAAAATCTGACAAATAATATAGAAATGGGTCACTTGTTTGATTATAAAAATATAAAAAATAATAATAAAAATAGAAAAATAATAATAAAAAGCGCAATACAAACGCTTCTATTAGTTGCTCCTATTATAAAAAATGTCGTGAGGCACTCAGATGTATAATGATGCGAGGTGCTGAAAAGATGTTCAAACATAAAATGCAAATCTAACTTCGCCTTTGTGACTGTCAACAAATGAGAATTGAACCTCACAGTCGGATGGAATAGTTCGTTACACAACCATTATATTACAGATTGTCACCTGTATAATTGGTTTGTATCATTTTAGTGAGGTTGCTGAAGGTGGCTTCATGCTATCTAGGAACAGGATCAAAGCTCCAGTTCACCAGATTGATTTTGTGTTATACAATATGTAAGAGTATCTGAATAGTCCAAGCACTTAACAAATTACAGAGAAAAACAAAGTAATACCATTATAAATGACAGCTCATCTTTTCTAATTCATTACTGTCACAGTTTGAAACATCCAGATTGTTTTTGTAAGAATTGCTAACAACATGTACAGAGTTATCTTTATTACATTTCACACCAGGTGGCAGTGCTGTATAAACATTCAATATGGAGTTCAATACTCATCATGATTTGTCACTGTCTAATTTATACATCATAATCATTTTATTATCAGTCGAATGCACGTCAGGAACCTGCTGTAAATTGCATGCCTGTCTCATCGTGGCAAAACTTTGAAATCAAATAGACCGATTTAATGAAGCATTTCCATGACTAATAGCATAATTTGATGAAATAACCAATTTTAATAATTATGTTCCGAAACAGTTTGAATATGATAGTGTTTTGAACATTGTTTTGCCGTTGTGTTCAATAGAATTTGAGTACAGTCCCTTAATAATGCATTGGTGACAAATTGTATGGTGTTCAAGAGGTCCATTTCATTATACGTGTTGAAATGAGTAATGATCTGCATTATTGAAAATAAATGGGAATCGCAATTAGAAAAACACATTGAATTTGCATGAGTGTTCAACTAAAGTTGCCGTAAATGAGGTTTTTCAGGTTTTATGATGTTTGCTTTTAAGGAATGATGATTGTTATTTTTACAGTGGCAGTGAATACAACTCAATTTCAATTCCTGAACGTTTTGATTCGGTCAGCTTAAAAACTGTCGAAGGGATTTCAGCTAACACAATATCACTGGTAGAACTGTAAGCGAGAGGGAGATAGTTTTATGCAAGATTGACCAACAACAGTAACATTTTCGTAGAAAGATTTTGCACTTTTAAATCATACTTTCCAATTGTAAGATTTGAGAAACGCAGTAACGCCTTGTTAATCCAATAAACGTTATGAGTGACACGAACTGGCAATATTATATCCCTCGGTTCATCAATGGAAGGCTGAATGAAGCGACAGTTTAAGTCCATTTGCAGAAAAAAAATTGATGCCTTGAGATCTCAGAAATTTCATTGGATTTATTCAGATTTTGCACCAGAAACTATGGTTTAAAATCAGTTAAAATGGGTTTAAAACCAAGATCAGGTCAACTTTCCCGGTGCCTTAAGGAATCTCTTAAAGTCAGGAATTTAACTGTCAAGTTGGACTATTAGTCACAGTTTATAGCGGGTGCATTTCTCACAATAAATAACCATACTACTCATGAAACATGCAACATGATTAATTGTGCATTATAAGATAAATTTCGAGAAATTCTGTACTTTTTACCGCACTCATTAGTTTTTTAATCCTTAAGCGACATTTAGGGGTAGAGATCACATTACATAATATAACACAATTTTACGGTATACTACACCTTATACTAATCCAAAAATTGTGTTGTTACTTATTTAGTTACTCTAAGTAGTTTTTTAGTTATTGGCATTTATAGACAAAGCATTTTCTAATCCTTAATCCTATTGTTATGTTCAGCCTGATAGAAAAACCCAATGTCATGTCCTGAGAAATGACATAATTTAGTGCGGAAATCTGCGCACATTTCCTTTCTGATTTCCAACTGCCGCTGTATCTTTAAGACCTATTTTCCAACATAATTGAAGACGAAGTTACACAATTCATATTAATGATTTTTCCACATGACAAAACAAAGTAAAATGTTTTCTGCCACTTTTCTTGATGACAGAACAAAAGATATCAAAATTAATCTTC